TAAATCTTCTTTCTTTTACTTTAAAACCATTCCCCCTTGTCCTGTGATTATCTGCCTGAGTAGAAGTCAGCATCATGGCAGTTCAAGATGATGGGTGAGTTCCAGATTCAGACAGCTTAACAAAGGTGTCACTGATGGAGGTGCCTCCATGTGATGGGGGGTATCCAAGCTCCCCTTGTGATCAATGGAGATGTAGGTAATATAGCCTCAAGGTCTAGACACTGACCTTTTATTCATACAGCTCTGGCTCCACTGGCTGTAATAAGTAAGGAACCACTTTGGCTGGCTTTCATCATAGAATTGTAGAATATCCCAAGTTGGAAGGGACTTACAAGGACCATCGAGTCCAGCTCCTGGCTCCACACAGCACCGCCCAAAAAACAAACCCTATGTCTGAGAGTGTTGTCCCAATGCTCCTTGAACTCCAGCAGGCTCAGTGCTGTGACCACTGCCCTGGGGAGCCTGTCCCAGTGCCCGACCACCTCTGGGTGCAGAACCTTTCCCTCACCCCCAGCCTGACCCTGCCCTGTCCCAGCTCCATGCCATCCCCTCGGGTCCTGTCGATGTCCCCAGAGAGCAGAGCTCAGTGCCTGCCCCTCCGCTCCCCTCGTGAGGGAGCTGCAGGCCGCCATGAGGCCTCCCCTCGGCCTGCTCTGCTCTGGGCTGAACAAACCCAGGGACCTCAGTCGCTCCTCACATGCCTTCCCCTCCAGACCCTTCATCATCTTTGTAGCCCTTCTTTGGACATTCTCCAATAGTTTTATCTTATACTGTGGTACCCAAAACTGCACAGTGTACTCAAAGTGAGAGGCATACCCTGAGCGCCCTGCCTCACTCCTGCTTCCAGCCCCCAAATGTTACTGCTTTCTGTATGCACATTTGTCATATCAGCTTTGTCATACCAGGGGGGTCTTGAATAACTAAGAGCATCTGAAATTATGCTTGAATCCTGTCTGTTATGGTTGCATGTAGCCCTAATTCTCCACTGACTAAAGTAAGAGACATCACTCAGGCATGGACACCTCAAGATGTGTCTCTAGAGTAGGAGATGAATCCTGTCTGAAATGCCATGGCAAGGTGCACTGTGATGTGAAGGAGGTGTATTCCCTGCTTTAGCATGGATTTTATATGAGATCTTGAGTAAATACTTCAAATCTTCGTGCTTAATCTGTCAGGTGGGGATGTTTTACAGCTTTACCTCACTCTGCTGAACGTAGGATAGGAGATGTCTCACCATAAGGACTTTGGGGCATGTTACTAAAGGGATCTGGGGAACTAATTCTTGTGATGTGTCATTCAAGGCACATGGGCTTGACTCCTCAAGGGTGCTGACTACAAGCTTGTGAGTCACTTACTGCTCCCTAACAGGTGGTAGCAGGAGTTCAAGGACTGTTGTATGGCCTGGTACAGAGGGGTTAAAGATAACAACAGCTTGTGCCACCCTGAATTGTTATGGGCAGGTGTAGCCATAGGGCTTCCAGCTGCATGGTAGGTGATGTCCTGGCCCACACAGGCTCAGCAGACCATGGCAGGTATTTTCTACACCCAAGACTAAGAACAGAGTGGGTGGAGTGGGAGTGGGCTTTTTTGTAATGACTTCAGTTTCAAACCAACCCCAACCTTGATTTGATAAACAAAGTTTGGAAGGGAGTTGAAGCCCACTCATGTTTAGATGAAGGTGCGTCAGTTACCATGTGCAAAAATAAAAATAAAAAATTATTTCCCACATGATCCAACTTTCCAGGACTTTTTGTTCCAGTTATAATTGGAGAGATCTCTATAGCTGTTCTGAAATAAGGCCTGGGAGAAGTGAAACAGTAAGGAGCAGTTTAACCCAGAGTACATGAAAACTGTACATGGTATGAAGAATTCAGAGGCTAGAAGCAACAGGGAAAGATGCAAATGAGAAACTCATGGCCAACATGACAAAAGCCAAGGTATGCTTTGTCATTTAGGTCTGTGTGAAACATCCAGGAAATAATTTCTTTGGCAACTCTGTGAGCAGTACTGGAGAAATCTTCGTATTGCTTCATGGTTCCGGTTGATGTCCACCTACTGACTGTACTGACACCCAGTCCAAAACTGCATTCAACACAGAGCCATGAATTTTTAAACAATGGCAGGAATATGTCAAAATGTCTAGAGATACTTCACACACACACACAGACCTGAGTGCAAACGAAGAGGCAACAAACTGTTTTGTGAGGGTAAGACTCATCCCACCTGACTGCTGGCGTTCACAAGTCCCCACACTTCCCTGTCAAGGGATGGAGGCAGACACTTCGGGAGCATGAGTCAACCCCCCCTGTCCCACACATGGATCTTAGGACAGGGTGAATCACTTTCTGGGGGTGTCTGCCTCTCTCTGTCAGCTCGAGTTGATGTTCAGATGACTAGCAGCAGGCATGGTACCATGCAATGTGAGTGACTCAACACACGTACCCTCAGCCAGCTCTGTGCAAATTACAGCAAAGACTGTGATTAGTGTAGGCTTCTGCACTGAAAGCATTACAGTGGGAAAAGCCTTTATGTGTATACTGGGTTTTTGTTTCTGATGTATTTTATTCCTCTCTCTATGCTAGAATAAATGAACCCAACAGAAATATTTTTAAGCCAGAGTGACACATCTGTCTCTTGTGGGTTGGCGCTGCTTGAGTTTCAGTATACAGGTACATCTAATGCTGTACATGTTTCTAGTATAACAGCACTAAAATAAGCCAATACATGATTCTTTTTCTTTTCTGTTAATCAGGGAAAGTTTTTAAATGGAATAGGTAGAAAGTATTCCTGCAAGTGATACTTAGCATATTGGGAATTACCTTAAAAATTTGTGACATTGTGCATGCCTCAAAAACTGTGAATCACATCCATTAAAATTATAAGGTACTTTTAAAAAGCAGGTAGGTGAAAAATAAATCTAATCTAAATTTATTTAGGGCTAAGGCTATACACTTTTCAGAAGTTTCCATCCATCCCCACAAGTCCTATATGCATGTGTTTCTTATCCACAGTTGTAGGCTAGTTGTGGTTTTCCTCGGGTTGCTGCCCTAAAGCATCCCTCTTTGATAAGCCCACTGATCCAAGGCCTGGATTGTGTTTTGCAGTTCTGAATTCTGAAATGTTAATGTAGTTGTGTCAGCCCAACGCCAAAATATTCAAAGACAGACTTGAGAGCTGGTGGAAAGCCATGGTTTTGGTGGGCCTTTGGAGGATTTCAGTGAGGGGCTGAGATGGAGGCCTGATGCCCTTCCCCGTCACCTTGTCCAGCACCCGTCCTCCAGACTGAGCCAGGCTACAGGGATGGAAATCTAACCCCACCATGCTGTGGGGTGGGCTCCTCAAAGAGAAGAAGATAAAGTCTCAGAAGTGGCGTCTAAAGAGCTAGCAGATCTATTTCCTGTCGCCATGGGAGCCAGGCCCTTGTGGGCAGAGGTAAAAGTGAGAAGGAAACAGGAGAAGGAATTTAAGCTGTTCAAACATTTTAGCCTTTTAACCCTGAGTAGCTGCAGCAAGCTGTTGCTTGGATTTTCTTAAAGGAAAATAGAGCTGGAGCTATTTGCCAGTCTGTTACGCATCAGAGATGGAGGGGCGTTTGTTTCTGTTTGTTTTGCTTGAGACCATTCGTGTTTTTCCTTTAGATTTTATAGGTGATGCTCCCAGAGAAATCTTTGGCAAAGCCCCAATCAAACTAGGACTACCAAATAATTTTGCTTCTCAGACATGTGTCTTAGTCTATTATCTGTTTCCTCACCAGCAGAACAGTTGTCCAATGAACTGCAGTGGGAGCAAAGGAATGTGATGCCAGTGGCCCTTTTCTTTTTTTTTTTTTTTTGAGGAATTTGTCTATTAATTTTTATTATGATGGTTTGCTCAATGAGTTGTTCAATTTACCCTTGCAATAATCAATGTTAATGTATTTTAAAAAGTTTATCACAGTCCTGGAGTGTGATGGGGCACTATTTTATCCATTGAAGCAAATAAATAGTTTGCGTTGGTTGTAATGGGAGATAAGATCCGTACTCTTTGGAATATTATCATGTGGCTGCCTCATGCCGGGGTGCAGGGCCATGAGTCAGGAACCAAGCGTGACCCCAGCATAGGCAATGTCCTCACTGGTGGGATCAGTCCTACAAGGTCCAAGAGCACTGGGCAAAGCCAAGTGCTGGTAACAGGTCCATTAGCAATCCCAGGCAGGGCAAGGGGATGGAATAGGTCCAAGATTCCTCCAGGAGGTCCTGCCAGGAGTAGAAGGAGATACGGTTGTAGACATGAATTCAGTGTTGGTCCCAGGTTCATTCTGGAGACCGGGCTGGAGACAAGCTACCCACAGTATAGGTTTTCCATCTATCCTGAAAACAGAGCAGGGGAGGGATCATGTCCTGTGTTTTGGGACCATTTGGGGGATACCAAGGAGTCTTGATGACATCTAGATATCCCTCTCTGTGTGACCACAGGATAATAACAAAACTGAACAATTGTCTATTTTTCCCAAGGGTGAATGCAAGTAGGGATTCCTGATCAAGGCAGAATCAAGTAAAGTCAATGTGAATACAGCTGGTATGAAAGTATTTTAGAATAAAGAAGACATAAAGGTAATACCGTTGCCCTGCTTTTCCAATGGTGTGCTCCAAGAGCCTTTTCTACAGAAAGAGACCTTCGTAGTGGGTCTGCAACCTTTAGGTGGAATCTGAATTTAAAATTCTCAAATCAGGATGAGGACAGAGGCAGTTTCCAGCAGGAAGAGAAGATCTGGGGTGGGGTGGTGGAGTCCAGTGCTCGTGAATAGATTGTGCTGAGTCAGAGAACTCATGAATGCAGCATCGATTACAATTCCCACACTGATATTTCTGTATTTCTCTCCTCCAGACTGTAAGGACTACCTGACGTGTGTTGAACCTTTGGGCTACTGAGCCTGCCCCAGATGCAATAATGTAGTGAGCAGATGATGTTTTCAACCAATCCTCCTGTCTAACTCAGTGGATCTGTGTGTCTTCCGGCAGGTGTGTCCTCTGTGGCCTCCCTGATGTCCCTGGCTTGGGTGCTAGCCTCCTATCACAAGCTTCTTCGGGACTCTAGGGACGACAAGAAGAGTATGAGCTACAGAGGGGCCCTCATCCATCTCTTCTGGCGCCTCTTCACCATCTCATCCCGAGTTATTTCTTTTGCTCTCTTTGCTTCCATCTTCCAGCTCTACTTTGGGATCTTTGTAGTGGTCCATTGGTGTGCCATGGCTTTCTGGATCATCCATGGTGGGACAGATTTCTGCATGTCTAAGTGGGAGGAGATCCTCTTCAACATGGTGGTAGGGATTGTGTACATTTTCTGCTGGTTTAATGTCAAGGAAGGGCGGACTCGATACAGAATGTTTGCGTATTACACGGTAGTCCTGACGGAGAACGCTGCCTTGACGCTCCTTTGGTATTTTTACAGAGATCCTGACACTACTGACTCATATGCCGTGCCAGCACTGTGTTGTGTCTTTCTTAGCTTTGCTGCTGGGATAGCTTTGATGCTGTTATATTATGGTGTGCTGCATCCCATGGGGCCAAGAGCTAAGATCTTTGCCAGCTCCTGTTGCGCCGAGCTGCTCTGGGGCATTCCTTTGCCCCCTGATGTTGAGCCCATGGCACCCCAAACCCCTGGGTACCGGGGGGCCCAGGCTACGCCCACCAGAGCGGTCACGGAGCAACAGGAGGAACTCACAGCTGACACTTGCTTGCCCGTTTTCCAGGTGAGAGCAATGGTACCATCTACTCCATCTGGGCGACCCTACCCCCCCGAGGGGCCTCTCATTAAGATTGACATCCCGAGAAAGAGATATCCTGCATGGGATGCTCATTTTGTAGACAGGAGGTTAAGAAGAACTATCAACATCCTCCAGTATGTCACCCCCACAGCTGTAGGTATTAGGTATAGAGATGGACCTCTCTTATATGAGTTGCTACAATATGAATCTTCACTTTAAAGCTCCTTAAAGCAAAAGTAAAAGAGGGGACCTTATTTTTGTTTACGGTAAACACAGATCATGAAACAAACACAAACCTTCAGATAAGCTTTCTTTCTGGTTGCTGTATGTATAAAAAAAAAAGATATTCTCTATGTTTTGTAAGTAAAAACAAAAAGAAAAACTTTTCTTTTGTTTTTTACACACAAGAAACAGTATTTCAACTTCCACACCTAGGATTCACAGGTGGAGAAGGAGGCATCTCCACATCAGTTTTATACCGTACACCAAGTGTAGAACATTATTTATGGGATTGGTGCTGATTGAAAAATAAAAAAACAAACAAACAAACCTACAACTGCCTTATGCCCTTAGGTGCTGAGTTTCATTAAGTACTGTCACCTTTCTCATGCAAAACTCTTTGATGATTATATGCCAGGAAAAAAAGAAAAAAAAAAAACACACAACTGAAATACAAACCTTAAAATTAAAAATACTAACAATAAAAATAATAAAAAAGAGAGAAATGTTTGAAAAAATGTCACATTGATCTTATTGGATTTAGCATTAAAAAAAAAAATGCCTAAAGATAAGAAAGCAAAGCTACCCCCAATGGAGTTTGATTTTTCAAAAGGCTGAAAGACAATATCAGGTCTGTAACTCTGTCTGGCTGTGCATTTATAACACCATTTGGCCAAGCCTGCGCACCTTGACCAAGTCACGTTATAAATGTGGTCCCACCCTGTAACCCTTTTCCTCGTGTAAACGGGCCATGCGTAATGGTCGGTTTGCACTGGATTAGTATGGCAATGCAGTATCTGATCTTGTTTTGAACAATTGCACACGCAAAAGCACCACTGGCTTCAGTGGAGTAAATAACAACCGCCTGAGCCCAGAATGAGGCCTGCCACGTTGATTTCTGGAAAATAAGAAATCTGCAAATGTTGAAATTATATACCAAAAATGCTATACTAAAGTACATTTACACATATCTAACAACTATTTCAGTAATAATAAAACTCAGCATAGTAGCAAAAAGCGAGTCAATTTAAAGGCACAATACTTGATCAGTGACTGGCAAAATAATTTGACCTACTGTATCATTTTAAGGCTGTGAAAGGCATACATGTATTATTTGTAATCTCGTGTAAGACCTGTCACGTCTCATTCAGTGCGAGCCTTAAAGTGATTGTAAAGCATCCTTCGTTTCATTTTTGGGTTTGGGGGTTTTGATTTTTTTGTTTTGTTTTGGTTTGTTTTTTTAAGGAAAACAAAATCTGAAAATCGGGATTAAAAAAAAAAAACAAAACACCATAAACAAACAACAACATAAAAAAAACAACAAACTTCTTCAAATGGTAATAACCTGTAAACTGACTCAACGTCTTGAGATGATTTGGTGCTTTGTATTTTTGTTGATGTTGTTGTTGTGATTTAGCTGAGAATTCTTCAACTCGGTACATGTGGGGAACTGCTGATAAACTGTCTCGTGTCACCCTCGACTGTAAGTACATGGCAAGAAAGAACACCACAGGAAATTCAAGAGCATAGCGAGAGCATCGTGATTTAGCTTAGCCTTCTCACCGCAAGGAGATTCTGCCGCCTCCGATAATGGCAAAGCGTAGACGGTCGCCTGCCAAGGGTCGCGTGGTTGTCTTGACATTTCCAAATAACCCGCTCGCTGTCTGACCATTCGCATCTCTCGACTTCTGTTTCTGTGCTGGAATCTCTGTTTCGAGTTAAATCACAGGGTTGTGTCTATCTAACACCCTTTTCCTTTTCACGAGTGTTGCTCCTTTAAAGGAATTTTCCCATTTCAGGGCATCCTTTCAATCCCACCGTCCCTCTGCTTTGGAGGGGAAAAACAACAACAACAAAAATGATATTTTTAAGTGAATACTGTAGTATTTTCTGTGTGTAATTGCAATTTTTTATTCCAGAAATACTGTAACTGTCTAGGGTGCAAAACTCCCATGCTGACCTATTCTGAAAAGGTCAGCATGGGGGGATATTTTTTTAATTATGATTATGATTTTTTTTTTAATTTGATGAATCAGTTGTTTTTAATTATAATAGCATTTAAAGAAACTAGTACAAATTTTATATAACAGTTTAACGAAGCTGAATGCTTTCTTCGCCTGAATATACCTGAAGAGAAACATTTTTTTCAATCAGTAATCCTTTGCAGTGTTCTGAGAAAAATGTATTTATTATTTTTTTTTCAGTTGTGTCATTTTGTTATGTCAAGAAAACTTTTGACTTGTGTCTGTCCCTTTTAAGGAGGGCAGGACTCATTCACGCCAAACTATAGACACACGGCAAAGTTTATAAGAAGCCAAATTGTCACTGGTACTGTAATTCCCAGTCAAACTCCATTTCAGGCAAATGTTTCTGGGCTCTGATTACAACCAACACGATGGTCACATTTTCAGGCAAAGGGAGGGTTTTCATCTTGTCATCCCCTGCCTAAATTCCCAATCCCTTGTTTGTTGTGCACACATATATCTGTATATGCACCTATGCATATTTGTGAAGAGCTTTCATTTCCTTTCTCTGTCGTCCTTGTCCCTTAACCAGTCCCCTCTCAAGTGTCCTACTAACATGTCACCCTGTTCCTTCCCTAATCAGTACGCTGTCTCCATCAAAAGAGGTAATTTGTGAAGTGAACTTGCCATCCTCAGCTGCTGAGCAATTTTGCACCACTGTCATACAAAGATAAGGGTGCCCATCCTCTGGCAACCGGCCTGCATTTCTCCTCCCAAGACTTCACTTGGTTCTTTTTCTGTGAGGATTCGCCTTTACATTTACTCTGATCCACTCCCCTGAGCCTCACACCCTGTGTAAAGACTCTACTTAGTCCTTCCATGAAGAGGTCTCATCTACACAACCACCTTTTCATTGGCAAAAGCATGAGAAAGGAATGGATGGGCCAACCACTGCACTGTCCTTGGGGACATTTCCTCCTGGAGATGGCACCCGCATTTCCAAAGGCACCAGGAGAAGGTCCCCCTCCGTGAGCGCATCAACCAAGAAGCCTGGTTTGGAGATGTGAGCCTCCTGGACAGCCAGACCTGCCTCTTCGCACCAGGACAGTGAAATGAGTCAACGAGCCAAGGCAACTCTCACTGGGAGTCGAGGAGGAGACCCTTCAGTGCTGCCTGACCTTCTCGTCAGCACCTGCAGCCTGCCTTCCCTCAGGAACGGGACCCTCGCTCCACACCACCACACCGACAGCCGTCCTCTCCGTCCCACCACAGGAGCGGAGGGGCAAAACACTCTAGAAGTGACCTTACCTCTCAACACAGTGCTAATATCTCACAGCCAAACCAGCTTGACTAAGGGCTTGACACATCTCTGCTCCGAAGTCCTCCTTCTTCCTGGCTCGTAGTACGGATGACAGCGAAGGCAGGTACCTCCTCCGTGTGTTAAGACTGTTTCATTACCCGTGTCACATAAACTTTCTGCCTCTGCTACTCGTCCTTGCTTTCAGTGATACCCACTGGCATCCTGATTTAGCAACAGATCTCCAGTGAGGGCCTGTCCCAAATCTGGAGAACTATTTCCCTCTGAAAGACTTCGATACAGCCTTAACATAAAGCTCGGCCACCACACCCAGCGAGTCCTTGGTGCTGGGTTTGGGGTGGTGACCGTTTCCTCTAGAGATTATCTGCCAAAAAGCGCCTTTTGCCAAGCCAAAAGCATGGGGAGCAAAACTGCCCCCAGCTCCTTATTCGTAGCAATCCCAATGCTGAGTCTTGTCCTTGCCTTTTTTTTAATTATTATTTTTATTTATTTTACCTGGGGTCCCTTTGTTTTTTGCTGTGCGCTCTGGCAGAGTGGTCAGTCTCTTGCTGTGATTGCACCAGATTTTTAACTCCCCCGCTTCTCCCTGTTAGGTTTGTTGTGCCACGTCCCACCTCCTTGCCAGAAGATACTGCGTGAGGGGTTTTTCGAACTGTCACGGAGAAGGTTGAGGCCATAATTATTCCCATCACAAGCTCAGCGGGCGACTTCTCTGGGATGTTTGTGCTGCCGAATTCACCCCGGGAACATCTGAATCAGCCACCCACGCCATGCCAGCGCAAACCAGGGCACAAGGGCTCCACCACCCCCGCTGTTTAAGTGCTCAAACCCTCCCTGGCATGGTTTTGACCCACTCCAGCAAGCCCTGGGCTTGGGCACAGCTTGCACAGGCATTGACACTTGCCAAAGACCATCCCCAGCTGGCAGCTTGGATGCGGCCGCTCTGTATCGGGGTGAAGTTTAGTAGTACGGATGTGGCCAGCACAGTTGGCTTCATGGCCAGAATGGATCCTGGCAGTGCTTATTTTGCTAATAAAGATTTATCTGTATGCAACAGACCGGGATTCAGCATTTGGTGGAGTACATCAGCTCTGGCCTGGCATACTTCTATTTTCTGCCCAGTTCAATGGACAAAGTATTTTTAGTTCGCTGTGTTCTTTTTGCTGAGCTTTTTTTTTTTTTTTTTGCAAACAGCATCACTTATATTGTTATGATGTCAACCCATCCCTCCCTCCCGCCGTCCATGTCAGATGGCTGGCATGCTTAGTCTGGTAGTGTTATACATCTGCAGGCAGTTAACGTGGAGGCATGAATGGTTCAGACCAGACCAAGGCAACAACGGAAAATACAAGAATTACAAGGTCCCTGACCATGCCCTTGTCATGCTTTGCCACCCACACGAGATGTTTTTCATCCAAAGCACATCCAACCCGGACGGGAGAAGAGGAGCCAATGCGGTGCAATTGCCAGTGGAAAGCGCAAGTAAGCCACCGATTTCAAGAGTAAATATATATTTTGCAGGGTTTTGGATGGGAGCTAATTGTCTGCTTCATCCTGTCCTTTTCTGCACCTGCCAAAAATCAGTAGCCATTTGCATGTATTTGTATTTAAAGCTGACCAGATGAAATGGGACAGAATTACTTTCAAGCTTTAGTCAGTGGGCTGCTAAAATCTGGCTGATGGTGCTCGTGAGGGGAGTGTTGCTGCTGACTTTCAGAGAGCGATCGTCCCTTGCCCTTCAGCCGTATTTTCATACACACAAGATTCACTTCACAATTTATCCCTGCTCCTCACCCCTGCACAGCAATGCATGAAGCATCTGTCGCCCATACACCTGCAGCATGAGTAAACCTCCTAAAGAAAATGTGGTCTGAGGTGCGTCCAGCATGATTTCATAGAAGCTCAGAGGTGCTTTGAAAAGGAAAACTTACTACTGTGCATTTGCAAAACCTTTTAGTGCCTGCTTGCTGGGCAGCTTGGGCAAGAGACAATTTGGAAGCTGCCAGAGTCAGTAAAAATAAATTGTAGAGACAGGCTTTTCTAGGATCTTTTCTTCTGTTACTGGGTTAGCTTTTCTCTGGATTCTGTTCAGATCCAATGTGGTCATGCAAAAACTAAAAGCAACAACAACAACAAAACCCACGCAAAAGAAGGTCCGTGCCAATCCCCATAGAAGCCAAGGCAGAGGATATTTGCTGGTAGGGATGATGTGAACTCAGTTGTGCACCCTTTGCTTGTTGAAGCTTGCATGTTGTTGTTACTTTGGCAGTTGTCTGAAGCCCTGGGGCTTTGGGGATGGTGGTTTCCCAGGGTTGCGATTGCTGTTTTTATTTTTCCTTGGAGCTCAGGTGTATTCTGGTGCAGAGAATCTCAGCCTGGTTTGAATGAGAAGACGTGAGGCTATCCCAAATAGACGTGGGCAAACCTTTCACTGTGTGCAGAACGCATTTCCAGACCTTTGGGTACCGCTAGAGATTGTCGCAATCCGCTTCTTTCTCCATGAGCTCGTTCAGAATCACTTCATTGTTCTGTTCTGTTTGAACCTGGAAATAACGGTGTGGGGACTTTTTTCTGCTGTGGTGTGATGTGAAGAAAGGGAGAACCCTTCCTGCTGAGCTAGATATTGCCTGTGTTCATCCCTCGTTCCTTACTTGAAGCTCAGGCTGTAGGATGAAATGAGCTGGCAGATAGCTGCATATGTTCCATGGGCTCTCCACCAACGAGGAGGGAAGCAACTGGTGGCAATTAAAATAAATCTGCCTAAGCAACCTGGACTTTAATATAAATTTAAACACACATGCAACCCAATTGGAAAGGGTAAAAAAGAGTGGTGGTGATAAAGCAATGTGGACTATTGTTTCCTGCTGTATATTTTAAAACAAAACCAACCAAAAAAAATGCAACAAAAAGGCATTGCAAGCAGACAAAACTGATCTGAGAGCGTAAACTTTCCCCCTCTTTGGGACACATGCAGCAAGGTAACTGTTGGAAAACCAGGCACTGTTATACGCGGGGTTATTTGGATTTGTGCACGGCTGGCTTTGTCAGATGGTCTTTTACAGCGAGCGTAGCAAGAGGCCGCGATCGAAAGCTCATTGCAGATTTCTGGGCGACGGGACTCCTGGGTTTCAGCCCCAGCTCTGCCACGATGTTGCTGTGTAACCTTGGGCAAGTGATTTAACCTTTCTGTGCCTACAGTTTACCCATCTGTACATGGGTATAATAATATTTACCTACCTCACAGGGGTGTTGTGAGGCTTAAGCAAATGCGAGCGAGAGGTGCTGGAGTTGCGCCGCGATGTTTTCATTCTTGCTGGGTTTGTGGCTGTTATCAGGAATGAGCAGTTGGCTACAACACGTGGAGGGAAATCTCGCTGGTCTGGGCATGTGTCGAGAAAGTGATCTTAAGTCTTTTCTTTCCCCAAAAGCAAGGAATGGAGAAAACTTCTGTGCGCCAACTGAATAGCCTTGCTTTCCCAGTCAGATGTAATAGCACTGTTTGCAATATGATTTTCTAACCCAGCAGGTGACCTTTCCCTTCTCCTTTCTGTTTCTGGAAACTTGAAACTAAAGATCACAAAAGTATTTCTGAACCGAACAGATTACTGATGAATACTTGAATTTCTTTAAAAGTTGCTCTCATCAGCCACGGTTAAAGTGCACTAATCTTTCAGTCATCAGCTTCCATCTGAATACAGTGAAAAATTTGCTCACGCTGTTTTGGAATAGCCTGGACCTTGCTTGGGAGGCTGGTATACCGTTTGCTAAGGACTCTTGTAGGCATGGGAAAACTAGAGTCGCAACTGATAAACACGTGAAAAACCTTTTATTATTTTTGGTTTTGCCTTTAAGTTTCCTGACTGCCTAGGACAGCACAATAATTGCAGTTTACTTGGTTGTGCAGTAGCTTTTTTCGAATGGTTTCCTTACGTGAAGGGTGAAAGTGGGTTGTGAGAGGATAACCTAGAGTCAATGGTGCTCACACGCGGCTCTTCCCCAAACACCCGCTTCCCTGGAGAAAACCTGGGCCACGTCTAGAGAGACTTAAGTCAGGCCTGCCTTCACCGTCCTTCCTCAGGCAAAACCCCTTTTCACCAGCAGGAGTTTTGGCTGATGATGTGTCCGTCGAGGTGGATTCGCCCCTGGTTGAACCCCCAAACACTTGGATGAAACCCAGGGTAATTCTCGATAGAGTGAGGGAAGGGGTCGGGGTCATTGCTCCAGGTATCGCCAGTGGTCAGGTAATTCATAAGGGGAAAAAGCATGCGACAGAAAGCCTTTTATTTATTTATCTTTTTTAATTATCACTATTTTTTCTTGTCTAAGTGTCCTGACCTTCATATAATGTTTTGTTTTGTTTTGTTTTGTTTTGTTTTTTGGAAATGCAGCGTGAGGCAAGACTTCCTGCTCCCTTTTCGCAAGGCTTTTTGAAGCCTGCTCGTGCAGTCCTTATGCAGGCAAAACCCCTGGGTTTTGGTGTTGGGCTTCTCTTGCTCTCCTGAGTAAGGACCGTGAAATCAGGCCTGTTCCGGATAACCGGGCAGCCTTTCAGGGGGCCGTTTCTTTGCTTAAACCCAAGACCTGCCTTGCACAAAGCCAGAACGAAGCTAGGAAACCCTCCTCCTCCACCACCTCCGTCTCAGTCTGCCGCCTCCCTTCCTTGTCCCTCTCCTGTACCACCACGGGGAGGTCGGTCAAAGTCTTCTGGCTCCATTGGTCAGGCTCTTCCACACGGCTAGCCATGCAGCCACAGATCTTCCCTCCGGGGCAGGGCATGTCCAGAAGCCCTCTTCTCACAGATGGGCCTCTTGTCATGTGCAGCGGCTTGGGGTCTGCTCCTTCCCCGTTCATCTCCCCAGCCATTTCTTTTCCCTGTTTGAAGCACTTCAGCTCAGTGCTTCTGAGTTCTTTTTACTGCTTCTGTTCCAAAAAAAAAAAAAAAAAGAAAAAAAAAAGATTGAAGCTGGAAAAAAATCACAGCAATGTAACTCCTTCGGTGCTATGCTAACTGCTTTGTTCTACCCAACCAAATGCTGGCCAACATACAGATCGTCCCTCTTTGTCCTAAGAAGCACCACACATCCGTGTCTTGAACAGGGATGGACGGAGAGGGGTGAGAGAGGGCAAGAGCGGTTCGGAAAGAGATGAAAGTCTTATGTGTATCTAGTAGAAAAAAAAATAGAAAAAAAATAGAAAAAAAAATATGTAAATGCAGATTGCTTTCAAAGCTAATTGTCGCCCACCTCGTGGAAATAAATAGGATAAATAGGATACAGCCTTTAAGGTATTGAGGGCATTATATATATATATATGTATGTATATATATAAGAAAAAAAAAATCACTTTATCAATAAATCGCCCTTTAATTTTCCTGAAAATGCACTGCTCGACAGTAAACCCACCTGGCTGTCTGTGCAGCCAGCTGTTTTACTTCGAGCCGCTCCAGCAGCAATGGTTATTCCAACTGCAAAGGTCGAAAGGCAGAAGGGGAGAGAGAGAGCTCCTCCTGCTGTGTGCTGGGTCTGGGCTGGAGCAGGTGGCTATGAATTTTCGGGATTAAAGGGACTAGTCGGCGTGTATGTCTCTGTCTATATACACAGCCCTGTGGAAATATAGACAGGTATACATGCCATGTTACTGCAGCAGTATATATGTTTTAATATATATGAATACATTGCGAATCCCAAAGGGCTTTTCAAGATGAGGAAGGTAGTTTCTGGTGCGAGCTGCTAGCAGTTTGGGGATTGCAGGCAGGGTTGTAATAAATGTTCCGAGTACGGTTTCTTAAAAGGGAAAACAGGGCCAGAATCCATCAGAAGCTTAAGGGCCTGCCGGGGAAATGCTATACCAACTGATCTTCCTCTTTTTAAGGAATTTGGAAGCCAAAATCAGACCAAAAATTACGGCCAAGTGCAGTGTCAGTAAAATCGGAAAGACGCCACTGATGTCCTCGCACTCCCCATCCCCAAAACATTCACTTCTACTGGTGCCAGGGAAGCCCGGACTGGGCATTACTGGTCCTACTGGGCTTTCTTTAACCCGTGATAACAGACTTTTTGTTTGAGCTTGTGGCTTTTGTTGAAGACCAAACAGATCTTGGATGAAATCAGTTTCTTTCCAAGCAGAGCCATCTGAGTTTGGCAACCCCCTGACCTACACGGGATCTCTGGCCCTAGGTGGCTTCCCCTGCCACCAGTACCACCATGGCAGTGGGAACAGGCAGCAAACTGGGTCCTCCTTCATGGGGACCCGACCCCCAAATCTGATTTCAAGCCCTTAGGATTCAAATGCCAGCTGCCACCCAAAGGGAATGATGATTGTTTTCTCTCCAGATGTCATTCTCATCCACCAGTCACAAGGAGAAGGATCTCATATTATCCCGTGTTTGCCAATAAATCCCACTGCCAGAGCCCCTCTCCCTCAAACCCAGCTGAACACCACCTGCACGCCACCCCCGTCTTCCCTCTCCTTTTTTTTTTTCCACCTTAAAAGCAAACACTGTTATTTCCCAAGTAACGAAGATCCAGGACAAATGCCAGATGATTACACCTGCAATCTGTTCGCTTTAGGATTTTATTTCAGTTTCAGAGGGCATATGAGTACACACAGAGACGCAAGCCCCCTGAAATTTCACTAGCCTGGAGCTAAAGCCACTTGACTTCAGTGGACTTGCTCTGAGCTGACACTGCTGGAGGAGAAACCATGCACCGAGTGCCCCCCAGGGTCACCCCCAAATTACTGGAGTTTCACACTGTTCCTGTATAATCTGGTGTTTTGTTTTGTTTTTTTCAACAAATACTCAAAATGGGGCATCAGTCAGCAAATTTATGAAGGATAAGTAGTAGGGGAAGTGTACTGGTCCTCACTTATCCATAGAACTCTTAGAGCTACTCCACTCACTAAACAAGCCTTAAATTGGGTGTAATTGCAGCCATTTGGAGGAGAGCTGCGATGCATGTTTTCTAAAAAGTGTCCAAGTAGCCAAATCCCATGGCCCGTCTTCTCTATGTAGGGAGAGTGAGAGAAGAGATTTTGCATCAAACATCAACGTTTGCTGTTAGCTACAAAACGTGCCCTCTATCTGAAAAAATACTCAATGATTTTGACTAATGGTTCAGCTCTCCCAGCTGTTTTACCATTCCAGCCTTTTGTTCTGATGGGAATGGGAAGGAGTTTTGTAAGTGTTTAAATCACTCAGGGAAGGGATCTTTCACTTCTAGGCCTGGTGGCTTCCATTTGTGTCATCGGGCCAGGTTCAGACCATTCCACTAACAGCAATGTGATTCCCTGGCACGAAACCAGTAGGAGATAAAAGCAGGGGTGAGCCCATGCGTGATATCCCATGTATTGCTTAATGGTGAGGTGCTTGGAGAAGGTCCTTCACCATGGCCCAGCCCCAGGAGCAGTTCCCCTGAGAACAGGAGTCCCATGGAAAGCCTAGATATTTTGGAGGTTTTTAAGATTTCTTGACTGCAGAGAAAATTCATAGCTTTGGTGTGTATGTTTTTGGATAGACTGTGGTATACAGAAAGTAAAATAATGGTGCCTGAAGATCTATGTTCTCTTTCCATCTCTGCTACGGGCTGTTGGGTAGGAAAACCAAGGAGATTTTAGGGATGTCTCAGCTGATGCCTACCTGCCCTGCCTGAATTCCCCAGTATCATTGTCTTGTGGTCCAGGGAATGTGATACGGGAATGCTTGGGCTGTTGTCTGGCTCCCATCACCATCCCCACCTCCAGCCCTGGATCTTTTCCATACTTGCCCCATGCATTGCAACAAAGCTCTAAAGATCCTGCCCTACCGAAGTGTTGGGAAGACAGAGGCTGGTTAAACACTTCTGGCAAAGCTCTTGAGCACCTTCTGATTGAAAGGAATTCTCTAAGATCATGGTGTCTTCTAAAATTAGCTTTCATCCTAGGAGCGCTGTTGATTAGTGAATTTTGATAGTACTGGAAAATTGGCACAGCCATGGAGAATAGCACAATTTAAATACTTATATTTCACAAGTGCCACTTTTCCCATAAACATTGAAATTTGACTAATCATTGCCGGAACTCTTTGTTAGCATTCAAAACCTGGAAAATGTTCTTGCACTTGATTCCTCAGATAAACCTTATTTAAAGAGCACAAATTCCCAAATCACCCCAAAAAGAGAAGCAGTTAAAACAAGACACCTGCGTTCTTCTAATCCTTTAGCAATGTGATAAGCACTGAATATTGCCCATCCTTCTTGCAGTAAGCACACTGAGCCAGGCTTAGTGCCCTGAAGTGGGGGTACTAACATCCGAAGTGTTGTAGGACAGCAGTGTTCATGCTGGGCAGAGCAGGTCAAAGCAATGCCTCAAGTCCCCTTGTCCATCTCCACGCAGCCTGGCAGAGCCAGAGAGGGAGGCTGATCATATTTGGGCTGTTACATGGAGCAGAAGATGCCACGCTAAGCTTTTCTCCATCCTCTGAAATGCTTTGCTCTCCCTTAGGAAAACAACCATGGAAGTCAACTGAGAGGCCAGGGATTTACTACTGTCCTGTTTGGGCATGGAGCTGGAGAAAGCAGAGGTGGAAAGAGCAAGTGGGTCATCAGGCATATCCCCAGGAGCCACATCCCTACATCTCATTGCTCCCCTAAATCCTGTCCAGTTGGAAATGATCCAAAGAAGGGCCTTGCTCACCCCAGACCCTCTTGATAAGGCACGTAAAACAGAAATAGTGGTCTCAGCTTGCCTAGTAAGAAGGGGGTTTTGTTTCGTTTTGTTGTTTTGTTTTGATTCTTGTTTTGCTAACTAAGCTTGAAACTCAGTCATGCCCATGCCTTGAATTTTGCCTTATTAACCAAACTCAGCCCATTCTGGACCCAGGTCATTCATCCAAAGCTGTCCTTCCAGTGCCGTTTGACCCAGCTGCGGCTTGCAGATGAGGAAGCCCATCCACTGACAGCTCCTTTCCCCCCCCGTGGTGGCATTTCAGCGCCGTTCCCAGTTCCCAGCAAGTTGCACGTGTGGCGTTTGGGAGATAGAAGGAGCTCCCTGCTCTCAGCTGGCCACAAGAAGCAGCCAAGGGCAGCCCTGACCCTTACCTTGTATTCCCCTGGGGTTCAGTGGCTGTCCCCTGGATCTGGGCAATGCCACAGGGAGCAGGGTCAGGCTGCTGCCTAAAAACCTGCTTAGATGGTGGCTTAGATGGGATGGGCTGACAGGTGTCAACAGGGTGCAAAACTGGTGCTATTAACTTGGCAGAGTGCCTGCCAGCCTCTTTTTTTTCTTTCTTGATCACCCAACAATTACCTAACCCGTGGGTTTATGGGCACTCTGTAGTGACTTCTCTTTTCCCAGGAGGGCTCTCGGTAGGCAGTCTGTCTTGTTCCCCAGCTCTTTCTCGAATTCCTACACCTCGGAGGGCAAGGTGGGCACGTGCGTGGGCTTCCATGCCAATTCATGAGCAAAAGAAACAGAGCGAGGGCCAGCCAGAAAGCTCACTGCAATCCGGGGACTCGCTGAGTGAGGAGGGGATGAGAAGCATGGGATAAAGCTCGAGAAAATCCGACATACAAATTTTGATCTCTGTCTCAATCCGACGGGACTTTGGTCCATCCGCTGAGACTGCTGCCTGTGTCCGGGAGAGTTTTGTCTCCGGGCTCCCGGGGAGTGACAGATTGAGATATTGAGGGCAGGGCTCTGTGGAGGGATGAGATCAGACTCGCTGAGTGCCTTCGACTTCCTCTTGCTCTAGTGGAAGCTGAAGGCATCCAGCGCATCCCAGGAGGCAGCCCACGTCAGGCTGTGCCCTGTTCCTCGTACATTATGTTTTGAGCGTCACCGTACATCAGTGTGAGCATCCTGAACGTGGCAAGATGTGGTCTTTTTAATTTAGGAAAGCTGTTGAAAAGTGTCCAAAGTGCTAGATAAGAGCTCGCAAAATCAACGTGCTCATTAAAGGACCAAATTCTGGCCTCCGTTTCACCCCGGCACCGGGCGCCCTGTATGAACCCTGCTATTTTTTAAAGGATCGCCCTCTTTTTCTCTGCCGTTGGCAAGACCAGAATTTGGCCTGGCCCCACCTGCCCTCATTAACTCCAAAAGCCCTTTATTTGTCGACAACGGTGATGTTAGGGCAGTGACATTTCAATTCCCCAGACCTCGTGGTGCCTTTTCTTGTGGTGCTTACCCTTCACAGAGCTTCAGTCAAGGCAACCACTCGCATCGAACAGCAATGCCAGTACTTCTCCTCCGTATCACGTGCCAGTGCAGTAACAGAATTTAATGTATACATATATAAATACAAATAGATAGTTAGATATATTGCTATTGTTATAATTATATATATATATAATTGAGGTTCTGATGCCGCTGTATGGGGAATGGACCATTCCTCTGCAGGATGACACACAGCTCGAGTGAAACCAACAGCTCAACGTCCTGTCAAGGGTTGCGACCTGGGCAAGGAGCTTCTCTCGCGCGCGTTCCTTCTCCAGCTCCTTTCTCGCCTCCTGCCCATCTCCTCCCTGCTGCCAGGATCCGTTCTGCACCGCAGCAATTCCTCACAATTGCTGGGGCAGATGCCCTGTGGCAACATCATCCTCCCGCTGCAGGACAGGGAGATGTCCCCTTGCTGCAAGAGGAGGACGGTGTGGCCCACGGGGCAGCATCCTGGGGCTGTGGCTTTGCTTTTTCTGTTGCACCAAGGGAATAAAACCCCCAGCTCGCAAGCGGTGCTTTCCCATTTTGGGAAAACTGGCCGCTCTTCCTGCTGGTGAGCAACCCCATCTCCTCTTCCTGAGCAAGAAACCCACTCGGTGCATTATTTTTTTCCAGTTCGGACGCTCAGTTTCCCACATTGCTCCGGTAACGGGGAGGAGGGAGGCTGGCAAATGCCATTTGCTTTGCTCATGCCAGTAGTTCTGCCTGACTTCGGGGGGGGAAAAAACTTTTTTTGTCAAGGGACTGCTGGGTTGGGTCAATCATCACCTTGTCGTTACCTATCGTATTGCTGAACCTAAGGGCCCGTTTCGGATGGAACAGATGTTGAGTGAAGGTATTTTCTACTAAAGGGAACAACACCAATAATACTGTAAAAGGTGCTAGAATCAAACCTCATTTTATATACTTTGGTTCTTAGAGAAAAAAACAAATACACAGAATTCTTCCTGTGCAGCCTTACTGTAGATTGTTATAACCAACTCTTTATCCAAAAAAACAAACAAAAAAAAAAGTGAAAAGGTTATAAAAGGACAAAAATGAAGCGATCCTGTATAAAGTGTAACAAATATGACTTTCCTATATAAATGTAAATGATCAGACGTATATTAAAATGCACTTGAGGCAGGCGGCAAGCATTAAAAGCTTTTGAAGCATCTTTTTTAATGCGCAACACCTGTCTTTTTTTTTGTTTGGCTGGTGCAAGAGGGAATGTGCCAAGGCACTTTTATTTCCTTTTAATTCTGGTCATGATTTTGGGGGGAAAAGGAAAGAGGGATGGGAAGGTGGGAGGTTTAGCTAACGAGCAAACCTGGAATATTCATCTCAATTTATATTTTTTTTTGGTGGGGGTGTTACTTTATGACACTGGGGACTGTGTTTGGACTCAGTTCCTTTCTCAAATGCTTTTGAAAGCTTTGTTGCCTGCCCCAGGTGCTGAGTATAACTCTTACCTCAAGAACGCTTACAAAAAAAAAAAAAAAGTCAATTGTTTTTTCCCATCTCTGGAAAAATCAAACAAATGACAAGAACAAAAAGAAAAAGAATTGAAAAAGCAAACAACCAGCAGTGAATGAAGTAATGAAAATAAAAAAGAAAGAAGTCAAAGCAGAGGTTTGGTGATCAAACCAAGCCATTCTGGTGCTTTTCCCCTTTTTATGTTGCTAATGATCAAAATTACATGAGATGGGCTAGGACAAGTTTGTGGTCTTAGGATGTAGCAAAAAATGTATTTAAAAAGAATACACATTTGCATGGAAAAAACTCTGATGGAGCATTTAAAGAATGGCTGTTTCAATGTCAGACGTTTAATGTTAGCATGTGTGTGTGCTGTATATACCTTTTCATGTGTGACATGTACAGTTGACTGAGGAAAAAAACACATATGGAACCGAACAAAAAATAATAATCAAATGCTATTTTATCAGATGATGCACTTTTTCACCTTGATGAGAAGCCACTGTTCACAACTATGCAATCTTCCAGTTTCTCTCTCTCTCTCTTCTCTCCAACCTCAAATTTCCCAACTATTTTCCATAACCTAAACCGTTTTTTCTTTTGTACAAAGAAACACAAAAAGTTCCAAACTCTGGTTCAAGGTGAGAGTGCTACTGTGACTTTTCTCAAATGATAAGAGCTAACAAACAGACAAACAAAAGGGGTTTGGTTTGGTTTGGTTTTTAAGAAAAAAGGAGGTTCGGACATGACCCTCTTTGTGTTCTCTAAGTGAATTGATGTTTTCTACATGTGCCAGGCTTCCGTTGACTGTTTTTGGGTTTGGTTTTGTTTCTTGATTCATGTTCTATCTCTTGGGTTTTAGGATTGATTGATTTATTTCCTTATGTATTCTTATGTATTTCTCTTTTTTTTTTTCTTTGTTTCTTTTTGTTTTTAATTCTGGTTTTGTATTGTAGGTATTGGGGATGTGAAGATGAAGGTGAAATTTGGCTTAACTTCAAGTGTTTTAGTACATGTGTGTGCTATATGTATATAGTTTTCTACATAGAAAAATTTACGCGCTTTTTAACGCACTTTACGACATGTATGTACAAAGTTGTCTATATAGAAAAAGTAGTGAGTGTTACCTGACCTTCAAAGAAGAGAGTTTTGATTAAGAGAAATCCAGATATTTGAGTATCTCCCGCGCGCGTGTGTGTGTATTATATACTATATTATATATTATAGAAATATATAATAGCGTATGTCCATGTTAGGGTGTGTATAATATATACACGCATCCAAACACATGACCATGCCCACCTATACCATCAAAGTAGAGGTTTTGCCTTTCTTTAAGGTTTTCAAGCTACAATAAATAGCCTGGCTCTACTGGGTAATCTCCTTCCCTGTCCTTGGATGAAAGGTAGAAAATTCTCCTCCCTTGTTATTCCCAATGCACCAACCTCTTCGCGTGGGAGAATTGTGTGCATAAACCCAGGGGGATTCCGCCTTTATAACCTTTCTTTCCCCACCCCAGTTTACCAGTGGGTGCTGAGGAGAGAGGAAACAGGTCATCCAGTGATGAGCTCAGGAAACCGAGACCACGAGATGTGGCTGCCATGTCCCCTGCCATGCCACTTAGAGCAACATCACTCCCACTTCTCTGTGCCTGTCAGATTGGGGTTGCTGATGCTTACCAAGCCTTTAAGCACTTTGCACTCATGGTCCCTCTCTGCAAATACTGCAGGGTTCCCCTCAACACCAGTGGGAGGTGATTCGGGCCAGTTTACAGTAAAGTCTTCACCATCTTACCCCCATCCTCCATCTCTCTTCTGCTCTCGAAGCTCATCACTGCCTCATTGGTCTACGCGTTGTCCTTCATCATCTTACCATTATGTTTTAAATGAGCACCAGTGTGCTTCTCCTTCCTTCCACTCAATGTTTTCCAACCCTTGAGAGCGTGGCCAACCACACTTCAAGTCTTCAAGTCCCTTTGTCAGATTCTCCTCAGCCTTGGTACCTCCAGGCACCAAATCAACTTTGAAAAGGGCAAGACCCTGAGGTGCTGCTGTTACTCCCATTCTTGCTCCACATCCTGTGTGCAGACCTCCTATTTCTTGGGGTAGGGCAGACGAAACCCCAGTTCCAACTTCACCGCTCATTGGGCACCTGATTTAGTAAAGCTCTTCCAAAGGACAGCTGGGCTGGGTGTTATACTCATCTCCAGATATAGAAAGGGCCCCTTCTGGAGCCAGAAAAAGTTGGAAGGACAAGGGGATGGGTTTGTGGCCTCTTTTTCATGTGTCGGTGAGAACATAAGTGCACAGACTGGTCTCTAGCAGCATGGACATCTCTTTCAGCCAGTTGCTCATGCTTGAATCTAAACAGGAACTTCATGTCATCCTTCCTATTGAATTTAAACCCACATTTATCTGAAAACAGCTGTAGTAGAAAAGCTGGGAACAGTCTTCCCATCTTGCACAACCTCATGGCTGCAGCTCTGGGCAGTTGGTTGCTTGATCTGTAGATCCAGGTGGGCTCAGAAACCTGCTGTGGGTGCTTCACGTAGCTCAGTTCTCTAGAAAACAGCATCCATATCTAAAATATTTTATCATAGGACACCTCACCCAGCCTTAGACACTGACTATTTAATGGTATCATGTGTAGGGTGCTGTATTGCCTCAAGTGTCTACTTACCCACTCTTCCTGCACAAATGCAGGCTCTTCCATCTACCTGCAGTGGCAAGTTTCAGGCTGTGGCTGGTGTTTGCAAGGCGCTATAGCTGTCCCTTGGACCTGCTGTTAGGATGCTGGGATCTGTGGGTTGGGTGAATGGTTAATCCCTCACACAAATCAGATGGTGCTTTAGGGTTAGAGGTTTGTGCTTTAGTGGTAGAGCTTTTTATTTAGTGTTAGAGGTTTGTACTAAAGCCTTAAGTGGAAAAAAAAAATGAAGATACTTCTCTGATTGCTGGATTCTGCAAATGGAGAAACCTAGAGGGCAAGTTTGACTCAATCCATAGCTGTGCAGTTAAAGTCCACACACTCCAGTTTCTAAAAGGGAGTAAGTTGCAAAGGCTTCTCCCTTCTTTGCCTCACCAAGAAAATGTATGTAAGGGAAAAAATACATGGAGGACACTTGGCAATATATTCTCCCTCTTCAGGTTATCCAGCACCTTCAAAGAAATTCAGTGAACCCACTGGAGCTAAAATTCATTCAAAATAGTTTTTTGTGAAATGAAAAAAATAAACTTTTAAGAGGGTGTTGGCAAACAGCAGGAGAGGTTTGCTTTGTGGACAAGTATAAAGCCACTTGTAGCTTTCAGGCCCTAAGAGGGAACATATTTTGTGACCCCCTGATTGGGGATGTTTGATCAAAGTACTTTGCCTGCTGTCTATAAGAGTGTGGGACAGAAATCCTCTAGTTTAGCCTGAAAAGCTGGATATCCAGTGAATTATCAAGATCCCTTCCATGTTCAGGAGAAACAGCCAGACACCTCTGGGTAGGGATTCATCCCAGATGGTTTCCAGTTCAGATGGTTTTCAGTTCAACCACCACATTGAAAATGACACAAAAGAGCAGGTTGTGGCCATTTACGGAACAGCTGGGGAATCGTACTCCTTCCAGGGCACCACTTCCTACCTTTGCAGCAAGCTTAGCAGATACGTTTGAGCAGCAACAAATGGGCTACCTAGTCTGGAGCTTCAAAATTGTTTTTATCCATGTTTCACAACGAACACCTGAGAGCTCTTCCCATCGCTGATGCAGGAGCCACACTGTGGCTCCTGCATCTTGAGATATGAGGGTGCCACGCTCTTTCTTTGCTTCACTCTCACCTCAAGAATGAAGCTGGTCCAATGGCTTGAAGAAGAGCCTTCACCAACCATCCCCTGCTCAACTGCCCTTGCTGGCAATGTTTACCTGTACCCAGCCAGTTAAACCAACTGCTACTCATCTTCTTGTCCTTACCGCTATGGATGTGCCACAAAAACACCATCCTGGATTGATAGACTAAATATAAAAATCCAGTAAGCCCTAGGTTATCCCCACTCCCTCCCCTGAGCTATTGGGATCCAAATTACCTGTAGAGCCCCAGTGATCCAGGTGCCTTAGCAAGTCTCCTTGTAGGAGTGAAAACCAAGCAGCCAGATCCCACCAGGTCCCCACACTGGTCACACCACCACCCGGTCACTTCAGTGGTACCTTCTCGCCACGTATCTGCTCTTGCCTGAGAAGAGCAACAGAATCCATCGAGGGGCTGCCCTTCTACTGAAGCCTTGTTTTGTTGGCCATTGTCAACAAGCCCAAGCTAATATTCACGAGCATGTGTTGGTGAATGTAGCCTCAAGCATTCCCAGGGTCTGCTGCTTCCCCTTGGCCATCAAAAAGAGAGGGGCTTATCTTTCCTTCACTTACGTTCAGTGCCAGTAGCTTCCCCTGCTGTAGAGCCCCCCCTCTTTGCATTCATGCGCTGCTGGTACCCCTAGGACACAGGCTGTTGCTCAGAGCTTTTTAATCACCCCTGCAAGTCATGAAAAATCAATGGAAAAATTTCCCTTGAAGACGACTAGTTTGTAGAAACCACTTCCGATTTACTTCTGCCTTCTCTTCCCCCCCTTTCCAAATGGCATTATTTCTAAACAGACTTTAATACCGTTATCAGTGTTAGTAGGATCCATTGATTAAGCTGTGAATCAAAGCTCACTGCTGTGCTGGATATACATATGTTAATGACAGTTGTGTTAAGCCAAATTTAACAGCTGGATTCTTCAACATCCCTTTGTTTTGTATCTACCTCACTATGATTTCTTTGATTTCTTGTGATTTAGTGTTGTATACAATGTCAGAGGTGATATGTAGATAAAAATATATATATATATATAAAAATATATATTTTTTGCTTTGCAATAAAGCTCAAAGCTATAACACTGAATATTCATAAAATGTCATAATGTTTATTGTGATGTTCCCTTCTTAGTTGTAAAATCCTGTCTGGATCCTATTTTCCTGTACACTAGAATCGATATTGTGTTCATGAGTGAATGGTTATTATTTCTGTTGCTTTTCCATTTAAGTGATATTTTTGAAATGTGAGATAGACACCAGAATTGTCAAGACATGAATTGGTTTATGTATTTTTTCCCCCGTATATAGCCTGCTTGTAACTGGAATCAAAATGTGACATTGAAAGAAAATGATTTGCAGTCCTGATCTTTCAATTTTGGTTTGTCTGATCTTAGTATTGAATTTGGCAGGGGGCAGAGAGGGAGCAAAAAAGGGAAGCTATTAGGATGAGCATAGGAAGGAATGAAGGAAAGATACTCATCACCATTTGGGTGAAGAGAGGCTTCATTCTTTGAAATAATTGAAACGAAACATGGCACGTACCTGAGCATGGAGACTGCACTCACTGAGTTTAATTCCAGACACTGAAAAGCTGAGTGCCTAATGGCAGTCACTGGACCAGAGTCACTAATCCAGGTCCTTTCTATGGGAATAGAGAGAGACAAAAAGTTCCCTAGGGCACTTCGCACCTAAGACACTTGTCTAAGAGGTGTGGGATACATCTCCTTCAGGAAGGTTGTATCTCCCCATCTCCGTGGATGGTGCTGAGTTGAGCTCACATTAGACACCTCAACTTTATGGCCTAACGTCAAGTTCAAGGACTCCCATCGTAAGTGTACCAATACCATCCAGGCAAATGACAACTGCCTCAATTTTTCATTGTGTGTGTTATTCCAAACCATGTGTTACCTTGTGCTCCATCAAGGGAAGGGATGAGGAAGGTAGGAGCTCCTGCTCTCTTTGTAAAGTGTGAGGGACTTGGCCTATTGCTCCTATGCTCATGTGGTAGAAAATGTCCTTGGACCCAGCAATACCGTAATGACCAACTTCTGGCACAAAAATGCTGGCTGAGCCCTGCAGTGGGGAGACGGCCATCAGGGAGGACTGTTGAGGTGGACGGGACCTCTCATCTCTTTATTCCCAGTAAAGCCTTTCCAAGAGCCACACAGCCTTATCCCTCTGCTGGAAATGTTAGGGGACAAAGCCTGCACTGAGCTTCCCCATCAACTCCCACGCTGCTCCTGGAGGCAGGAGTTTGAAAATAAAAGCACTGAGGCCCAAATGCTGGGACTCTTTGCTTGATTAGCAAATATTTCCCTGGATCTCATGCATTGACTTTACTGGGAGCAGAGTGAGGTGAATCCTCTCCAGTTCCTTTCCACCAGACCAGGTGGAAAATATTTTCCTCCACTGCTTTGTCAAAGCTAACAAACAAACAAACAAACAAACAAAGTAAGGACCAGAAAGAATCAGACACAAATGAAATATGAGATATTCTTTAAAAGTAAGGAGAAAAGAAATACTACTGAACTTAAATCCAGATCTTCCACCACGGAAAATAAAAAATAAGTAAATAAAAACAAGAAATGAAACCCAAATATGAATAAATCTAAATGGAGAAAATGTTACTGGGTTTCACCTAAAGCACATGACAGGACTGCAAAATACATTATTTAGAGTGGGTTTCACGAGACCTCTTCTGTGTTGTCTTCTATCTAAAATTTGCACAATTGTTCAGTACAAACAGCAATTTTTTTCCTCATTCTAATCTGGTGTCTGTACAAATCTGGCTTGGTTTTTGGTTTGTTTTTTATCATTTTTGTTGCCTGTTCCCAGCAATTTCTATTTTTATGGTGTAGTATTTTGTCTATATGGAATGATATACAGATGTGTTCATGAAATTGTATAGCAGATGGAATTACAGGTTGGAGTTGATTTGAAAAAAAAAAAAAAAAAAATCTAACAATGAGAAAAATATCTATATGAAAAGTATGCTTCCAAAGTGTGTGTTTGAATTTGAGCATTTTGTCATTTTCCTGAGCTTTTTGAAAGGCTTGTTTTGAAATAATGAGACTTAATGAAGGTTGGGGTTTTTGAGATACAAAAAGCACAATTATCGTTATACTGTTATCATTTTTATTTAGGTTCCATTACGTTATTTAATTCTTTGCCTATCTGGACATTATAATCTCCAAATTTTGACATGCAATACATAATCCTTTGTATCTGCTTATTAATCATCTTGCATTAGGCAAAAGGAAGAGATGCAGCTGTTTCATTTCTGCTCTGGAATCATGCAGAATTCCTGGCCTTATTTGTCCTTTTATTTGCTTTAAAAATAGGGTTGAGTTTTGTATTTGAGGTTATTCTCTTTGAGACTTACTGTAAGGCCCCAGAGGTCTTCTTTTAACTGAGAAACAAAGTCTATCCAGTAAGCATAAGACAGCCTTGATTTTACAACATCTGCAGTGAAATGTGACGTGTGAAGGGATAGGTCATGCAGAGCATTGGTGGATCTGATCTGGCCACATTGATAATAGTTGATGAGGGGCCAGACTTATCTGTTTTGCACTCCACAGCTGCAGAGAGAGGTGCTGAATTAATGTCTGAGCAGTTTTAACCGTGTCCTCGGATGTCCTCAGATTGATCGGTTGGTTGATTGATGAAATGGGAAAGTCTTAAGCATTTCTTTGTCATAATCTCTTTGAACGGAGCCTACATTTCCTTCCTTTATTCTCACAGATATTTCCACTGATGCTCATGGGATGCCTTTGGGTTTGGCCATGGACGCATTTTTTTGTTAAGTCTTCTTGTCGCTTAGCTACTGTGGTCATATCAGGACAATTTGCTGATGCTGACTTTGAGGTTTTACGTTCTTTTGTGGCATTGCCTCTGCTTTACCGAGAAGCTCTGTGTCTCTTCCATCATATGCAATAGCTCTGTGGAGGAAGGAGGGGTCCTTCCAGCTTCATGCCAACTGGTGTGCTAACTGCTCTTTTCCAGGTTGTAAGACTATTCATTAAAGGGTCCATTTATTTTGGTGGATGTATCGCAAGCAAAACCTTCCCCTTACTCCAGCTCTGTAAACATGGGAGAGCTCTGCCAGCTTCAGTGGAGCTGACTCAGCATTTGGGCTGGCATAAAGCAGCAGCGTGCATTGGTGAGAAGGGTGTGCTGTTTGAGCAGGAGTTTCCTCTCCGGTGACTGCTGCATGACAGATAGCATAATACGTGGATATAATAGCATTGGAAATGTCTTCTCTTGTCTCATGTGCTAAAGATAAGATTTGGATAAAGGAACGTGCAGGTTTTGGGGAGGGAGCTCTTAGAGAAACCAAGCCTCACTGGATTTTGGTTTTCCTTTGGAACTACAAGCCAAAAAGCAGATGAGATTGGAAGTGTTGTTTGCATGGGCTGTGTTTGATACAGAAGTGACAGAAGAGAGTAATTTATTTCTTTTTTGGCCTCTTAAAAAAAAATGTGAAGGAATTTCTGACATGGAGAGATGTGCAACAGACTCATTGGCAGCAGCAGATCATGAGAGGATAAGGGAGGTTTGGCAGATTTTGTTAGTGGGTAGTGACCTTGCTTTTGTGGAGGCATCTCTGGGTGACCAATTAGTTCTGTCTTTAACAGAAGAGGCGTCTGCTGTCTTTTGAAGCTGGAGATGAAGCCAAGGGGCTTCAAGTTCTCCAAACTTGAATTCCTGTGTCTCTTGGGGATTTCTGGGAGCACCAGCAGTGTTTCAGAAGGGAGACGTTCTCCTTGGGATGGATGGCACTGGACCCTAACCCTGAAATGGGCAGAAAAGACAACTGAGAGGCCTGAGCAGGAAAGGCCCGAATTGGAAAGCTATCCAGTGGACAAACTCAACAGACTCAATTCTTTTAAAGCAGCTTTTATGCATTGGTGTGAGAAAGTTGGATAGCACCATAGTCAATTAGTTTCCCTAAAAGAGACTGTGCCTTCCAGAAAAGTCTGTATAGAAAACAAGTTGCATATGGAAGCTCCACGACCGTGGCACTAGGAACCATCCACCAGAGGATGACCAGAGGAAAAGGGGCAGAGAGCTCTTGGAGTCCCAGAACATAGATCCAGGAAGCCCCGAGCCTTGTTTCCCAATGGGGAGCTGCCGAGCATTTCTAGTTCCTGAAATGATAAAGAAACAAGAGTGGTTCCTTTCAATAACATGAGGTCTGGGCCACTCTGGACGTACCCTGGAGTTAAACTGACCTGAGATCGGGGTTTTCCTGAGATCCTTTAGTCAGCAGAGCACTGACAGTGGCTTGGACTCTTTTTTATTCTCTCTCAGTCATCTCCTGAGACTTGGAGGCATGGAGCCCTGCAAGAAGTCAGAGGTGGCTTGCTCACTGCTCAGGTCAAGTCAGGATGGATGGCAGCAGAAGACGGAGATCTATTAAGAAGCAGATTTGTGTCCAAGATGTAATGACACATGGTAAAACGGTGTTTTGAGGGCTCCTGGGTCCTTCAGTGGCTGTACAGTTGGGCATTAGAATATGGGCAGGCTCAAGTGCTGAAGGGGAAACGAGTGCACCAGAAGATCCCACAAAAGATACCAGAGCTTAAAATACACAGAAAAAAATCTGCAATTTTAACCTGTTGGGGTCCTTCTCTGAAATATGCAGTCTTAGCAAGGGAAGGTAAAAATGTGAGGGAGAAGACAGTGAAACTGTGCTTATTATGGCCCTTCCACTAGTCAGGAAAAGGTGGTTTTTCAAATAGGAATAATCTCAGATAATCTCAGACCCAAACATAATTAGCCTGGAAACACCAGAGCGGCCTCACCATCCAGCCCACAGTCCTGCCTGTCCATGACCTTGATGATCAGATATCCCAGGAGGAGGCGTAAGGCTGGTAAATGTTGGAAGGATAATCTTCCCCCAACTCAGTGGGCATCATGCAGGGTGAAGGGTGGCACATTTGGATGTGCTCTGAAGATGCTGAAGCTCTAGTCTTGATAAGAACGACAGTCTGTTATCCCATTCCTGTTGGGTTCCTCGTCTGCATCCACAAAAAGAAACAGAAGAGCCCAGGGCCTGGTCAGAGGCCCTGTGACCCAGTTGTCAATATTACCCAAGTGTAAGCCCAAGTGTCCTTGGCCCAATGTCAGCTGGGGACAGATAGCATTGACTTGAAGAATTAGCCGGGGTCTGGAGGCAACAAGCACTTTGTTTGGTTGTGGGCACCTTGTTTTGGAGGCTGAGTGGTGTGATATCACACCACGAACTGTGGTGTGATAGGCAATATTACCTGAAAACAGACTAAACCAACAACCAAGTCCATGCTTAATGAGAGAGACAAGGTTTATGGGAGAGATATAGAAACAGATTTTATTATTAAAATACCTTCTGCTTTAAACCATGCCTATTGTATTACCTTAATCTATGCCAGCTACCAAAACATGACTAGGACGTTTTTAGAAATGCTTTGCAATGGATTTTGTCTCAGTATTGACATTCTAGTGTTAAAAAAGCTCTGTTTTAATCCTTCTTTCAATCCTTTATGGCCTGCACCCTTTTCATATCCCAGGGTACATACCAAAGCAAGAGAATTCAACTTTGCAAGGTGCCAAAGGTTTCTTATTATGTCCAAAAATACCCTCCCTGCTTTACGTGGGAGCTGAGGGGATCAGTATGTTCCAGGAAGAGCCCAGAATTTTTTTGCTCCATGCCTTCCCTTTGTTGTCCTGCCAACAGAGCCTCAAGGACAGCATATGGCCTTGTTACATTTGCTTTTTCTTAAAAATATATAAATAAATAAATGAACCAGAGAGCTGCATGAGTTCTAATAGTGCGAAATGAGCTGTGTTTAAGTGCGTTTCCCTCATGCAAGCAAGAGACTTCTGCAGAATCCAGCAGCCTTACGGCTGGCTGTATGTTCCTGCAGTTATTCCTTATTTTCCAGGCATGAGAAATGATCGCTTCTTCCCAGCCCAAGACTGGTTTAAGATGTCTTTGCCTTTTTCCTGGAATAACTCCCCCAGCTCTGATGCTTACTTGCAACTTGGCCTTGGGCTTCCTCAATTCTCATAGCCAGGAGCACTGAAAGAATTTGCATCAAGGGGCCAGTTTCCCTCAAAGTGAGAGCATACAAGGTACAACTAGGAGGATTTGGCCCATGGTAGAGTTTATGTGAGTAGAGGGCATGAATCTCCGTTAACCTGTGGCATGTCTTGGCTTTCAAACTTGCCCTGTACAGACTGGGAGGTGTAGCATCAGCATCTTGAAGACCCCCTTTTTATGTCCCTGAAGCAGGTGGGAGTTTCAGGACAGACTTCGTCAGGATCGTTTTGTTGGGCTTGTCTTTCAGAGCACTGAAAAGAGCTACAGCTAGTCAGGCACAGCAGGTGAACATAGAAACCTAAAACCTGTGCCATAAGATGGAATCCAGAGCAGAGAAAACCTCAGATCTACAAAGGTCCTATGAACTTCAGCTCGTCGTGAGACCTTCCTCTGTACATCTGCTGGAGACACTCTCACAGACAGGAGACTAGCAGTGGCTCAGAAGCTCTTCCCTCCCCAGTCCTCCCAGGGAAGAGCTAAAGTTGGAGCAGTTCTGCACTGTGAGCCCTTGGGAAATATTTGGCACAGCAGCCTGAGGCTGGGTTAGGAGTTTGCAGATTTGGTAAAGCAGATGGCTTCCCAACTCTCAAGATCTCTTGTATCTGCTCATTCCAGCAGGTCCTGTGTTCAGTGCATTGGATGCTTTTGCATAATTACTTTTTTTGTGTGTGTAAATTTTGAGCCTTTTTTTGGAGGAGAAAAAAAGGGAATTAACCTCTTCTTATATTGTGACACAACCAGCCTTGATATAAACCGAATTTCAGATGGAGACTCAGCCAGTTATGGATAGTTCAAACTAGATCCTCCCTAACACTGTCCTGGAGCAGTACAATTCCTCATTCAGTAAAATAATCGATCGATTTACATGGAGCAAAGGTCAGCTGAAATTAATCTGCTATTAAAAACTGTACCACACAGCGTCATTTCTCAAAATGGAGAATTTCAAGCCAATTCATGAAAGAGATCATCATCAGTGAGGAATACTGGTGAACGTACATAACATCCGTGCAGTTATCTCTGCTCTGCTGGTGAAGAACACCAGAACTATGCCACAAGCCTTTCAGTCATGACTTTCCCTGCATCAAATTATTGGGATGAAATCACTAACAGTTCTCAACAAATCCATTTTTCTCCCAGTATAAATAAGGAAAAAAATACTGCTGTCTCTTCTCACAGCTCCCAGATTACAGAGAAGATGGTTGGATTGTCCTGCCTCTGTCATTTAATTCATACATTTGCTCTGAATTAGGAAAACAAGAAGAGGACTATGGCCAAGGCATGACTTCTGTTCTTCTACTCTGTGAACTTTCGCAGAGGTTCTTCCCTTTGCTGTGTCCTGGCTGTTATGATGGTAGGTGGTTTTGTAGGTACCATGGAGGACACTATGAGAATACTCTGCCATTTTCATTCTTTGATAATTTGTCTTAGCAACAACAATGTAAGTCTTTTGTACATGGCTTATTTAGTATTTTTTATTAAAGTATGTTTAGTCTCCATCAGCACAATAATTATTCACCCCTCTGTACCATGAACAGATACACATGAGGCAAGATGCTGGTATGAAGACATTCTTCCAGGGCAATTTTATTTCCTCTTTAGCAAGAAGCAAAAACGTCTCCCACAGAGCTCCAGCAGGAATCTCTGAAGTGTGAAGGTTTTTACTGAGTCTCCACTAGAAATAGGATCTCTTCCATACAAGTGATTCTGGGTCCTTTAGCTTTCTGTTTGCACCATAACATCCTGGCTGCTTTGGGAGGCAAAAAAGATGCAAAAATGGGTCACAAAAATGGACCATCTAAGGTGGGATGAGTCTCACTTGACATCTACAGTGTGGGTTAAGGAATAGAGGCAGCTTTTACAGACTTTAGAAAGGAATATGTGCTTCTGGGATGCAATTCCTGTTGTTGGAAAGCAGCCATCTGCACTTTGTCAGATGAATCATATCCTAGAAGTGTCTGTGTCTTTCTCAGCTTTAGAGGAAGTCCAAGATACTAGCTCAAATACAAGGATCAATCTCTGTTTGTTTGGATAAGCAGGACCCAACTGTCTCAAGATCAAAATGGCTTTTAAAAATATAATCCACACACTGCTTACCTGTCAAGGTTGTCTTCTGTGTCTTACACTTCTTATGTATGTGGAAAGAAAAGGACCTCTTGAGTTCGTCATTATAACACTATTCAAGATTGAGCCAAGTTGATGGCAATAAAATTTCTGTTTTCCCAAAATGTCTCATTGGAACCTTAATGGCCAGCTTACATGTTATTTGCACAGTAACCCTGTCAAACAACCTACTTTTACTTTTCTGCCCTAATTCAGGGTTTCAACAAAGAAGTCTCAGCCGGTGAAACTATAGAAATCACTTTCAGTCCTCGTCTTCTATCCAGACTTGATCATAGTCAATTTTGCTTAGCTTGTGCTTGTAGGTAAGCTTGCCACCCAATGCAGAATGGTTTTAAAGAATCAAAATCAACTTGCCAAGCCCCTCCAAAAGGGTGGCATAAAGTTCCTCATCACCTCTTCCAGATTTGTACTGCATCACATAGAAACAATTCAGAAGTTTGAATTGTAATGTCTGCTACTTTACAATAGGAGAGGATATTGTTCAGTGTGCCCACTTCTCTTACACAAACCTGGCATCCTTTTGCAATCATTCATTGTCATTTTCAAGAGAGGTTTTAATGCAACGACATCAGGATTCAGTGCTGAGAGATTCCCTGTGCTCCATAACGCACAAATCTTTCAAATGGCTTTCTGGACATCACTCTGGAATCAGGACACCATGAGCTAGATCGAAGATGGATCAGTAAGTTCAAGATGGAATACAACAGCACTGAGATGTGCCAGTACTCTGGAAAATCCAAAACTCAACAAATTTTCAAGAGTTTGGAAAGAATGAATGTTCCTGGTAAGATTCACTTTATCTGACTTAGATAACTAAAAGTTAACTCTCCAAAGTCAAGCTCTTGTAGCTCAATTTTCTTTTTGATTCTTGGAGAATAATACTCCTAGCAGAGATATCTAAAGAGAGGTGAATCAGTCTCTGGAAATGCCTTTTTCTTTCCACTGACTACAAAAGGAGCCAAGGGTGATTTTCCAATGCAATGTGGATATAGGAGGCCATTTGCACTAGTCATGCAGAAAATTCTTTTGTGTAAGAATGAGGCAACATTCCTGCTGTCCTTCTACCCAAAATTCATCAGAGAAGTTCAGACATTAACATCCAAGAGGCAAAATCACCTGATGAGACAGAGGTCTTTGCCATTTCCCAGAGTAATGAAGCTTATCCTTCTCAAATAGACTCAGTCTCATGTCCCAAGGCTTTACATAGCCCAGTTTATTGCAGTTTGGCATATCAGATTTTGACCACTTCTTTTCTAGCCTGGAAACTTGTGCTTTGAAGTATTTGAGTACTTTCTGGTCAGACAATAAAAAAGTCTCCATGGATATTGTGACTTTTTAGTCTTTTTGGTTTAGGCTTGTGATTCACTGTCTTGATGTTATTTAGAGTTTCCGAGGAGTGGTGCTGTTTCTTTTACAAGTTTTTGGGGCTGAATTTCTCTTTGTCTTTGAAATTTATTTTTGCTTTAGAATAATGACCATAGCTAAATAAATGCCTCTTGCAGTGAAAACTGAGCAGCCCACCTAGTAGTGCCTCCATACTTTGACTGCTTTTCTGGTGGCTGATCAAGCTTTGAGATGAATGCCTCATTTAATGAAAGCCCAGGGCAAAGGAGCACTGGCATAAGCATGTGTCTGATCCTTGAACCTTTCATCTTTATAGGTATTATTCCTGATCAGGGATTTTGTCAAGTTTCTTTCTTTCCTATGAGCCAGATTGGTACGAGCTCCCACAGTGTTTGGTAGATGTCATCAGCAATGACAGGCTCTCTTCAGAAAAAAAAAATAAATATAGCAACAACAACAAAAAAAGATGGCTTTTCAAAAAGAAGGTAACCAGTATGTGTAGGAGCTCCTCAGGCCAAGGTCAAGGTGTGCCCCTACGTGGAGAGGCTTTGCAGTGGGGAGCTGCAGGGTGATGGTGGAGTTGAGTGGAGATGCTGAGCGTGGAGGATGCAGTGTCTGGCAGGACCAACGTGCGGCCACTGATAGAGACAAGGGCGTCCCACTGCTGTGCTGGACTTGTGTTGTTTCTTGGTCTCACAAGAGTTAGGAATAGTCTAAAGAGTCAGGAGAGAGAGGCAGAGATGGAAGATCTTTGGAAAAATATTTGTCTTTATCTCCACTGAGCTCGTAACATTCGTTCAACCTCCTTTAGCCTCTAGCTGGAACTTCATTTAGCTGAGGAGTGAGGTGCAATTTTCAAACTATGAGATTTTTCTTTTAATATAAAATACATTGTCTGAGTAATTTTGCAGACTGTCCCACCTGAAGATCCTGTAGTAAGTAACCTAGTCACTAGGAGCAGGGAGAGAAGTTGAAAAATGGAATAATCCCAGTGAACTTTCACTCTAAAAATCAAAGTGCCTTGTCTAACCTCTATGCATCTGCTTCCTCTACCATCAGCAGAAGGAGATAGGCACGTCTGGGGAGGAATTCATCCTACACATCTCACACCACTTTTTTGGGGTCTAACTTTCTCATCCGTAACTTGAAGTGAGATGAAACTCATCCCATTTGCCTGAGTGAAAGTAACTCGAGGAAGCAGAAATCACAAAATCAAGCACTAAATAAATTCCTGAAGTGCTGTTCAAGGGACAGGGATATTTCTGTCCAGGTGGTGGCAAAGTCAGCTGGACTCCTCTTCTTAGAGCTGTGATATCATCTGCAGTCTCAGATCTTCCTGACTGTTGTCTGATCACTGTTTTCTTGTTCAGACAAAAATCTGGTTGGTTATAAAGATCAATGTCTTTGATTTAATCAGCAAGCTTATGTCATGATTCTACTATTTTAAAGCTTCTTTAACTCAGAAAGGCTAAGGCTGGTTTCAGTAAGTCTGTAATCCCTGCTAGTTAAAAGTCATACTATTAAATATAATTGAATTGTAATTAAAGAACAACCACAAAGCCATGGTCAGAACATCCTCCAATTCCATTTCTTTTTATCATAAATCACTTGTTCTCCTTTCAGTTGGTGATTTTTGCTATTTCATAGTGAGCCAGGTCATGTCAGTTAACAAAGTACTTATAGCAATGTGTATATGAATACATCAAAAATGGATGTCCCAGGCTTGATGGACCAGAACACCATGTTGGAGGGAAAATTCAGGTTGATGAATCTGCTGTCCTTCATTCTTTCTGTGTGAGATCAAAGCACAATAACTGGCCTTACCCATGCCAGCCAGAGGTACTTCCAGCCCCAGGAGTACATGCAGAAACCGAGCTGGTGTAGAACACTCGGAGTCCCTAGTTCAGACAGCAACTCAGGAATGATGATGTAGAATAAGAGAGTGAATCTCTCAGCAGCTTTTCACAGTTTTTGGCTTCAGTAGTTGTGGGTTAAAGATTGACCATTGTCCTCTCTGTGATAGCCAACCTAAATGGCTGGATGCTCCAAATTTAAGCTGTGCTAATGCAGATAGTCCAATGTAACTGTCAAGATCCACACTGCAGGCAACAGGAAAAGGCTGGTACTTCTGGAAAGTGACCCATCTTATATCTCTTTCAGGATGGAAGGAAGGATTCTAGGCAAACCCATAGATATTTAACTTCTGGCTGGCTAAATACGCATGTAGTAGAAATGGTAAGACTTTGTCATCTACTGCGTTGAATTTCAGCTGTGTTTCCTACTCTCTTGAGTATGAAATGATTCTTCCCACTTTAACCACACGTGACACGTGGAAGTGACTATTTGCTTTCTAGAACATTTTGGTAATTTAACCTAGTTCTAATTTCACCCTCTGCTTTTTGTTTGCTTGTTTAATATAGTGTCTTCCTGGTAGGCAGGGATGGAAGGACTAATCTCAGCTGATCTTAAAGCAATGGAAGAGGCTTCTTGACATGAACTTGTTGCCTATACTGCTACAGCCAACAGAGCAAAACAGGCACTATCAGGCTGTGATTCATCAGATTTTGGTCACCTCCATGATAGGAAGAAGAATCACACTCCAGAAGTAGCTGTTGTGTGTGTCGATTGCAAGCCAGGCAGAGTTTAACAACAAGTTGTTGACTGTAAATATCTGAGCAGCAGGGCTGTGGCAAAATGGGTGTCTCTAATGGCTGGACATCCTGCATTATGTCATTTGACTCGTGTCTGGTGGCGTTGGGTGACCTCTGCCCCCGGTCCATAGATGGTCCATCCACTCAGTGCTTCCCCAAGGGCTTCGTCTTCAGTGCTAATGCGAACAGAGTGGGGACTACTGCATGAATACTGCGAAGGAAGAATACTCGTTAGCAGGGATTTATTTCTAGAGGAGACCAGGAGAATTACCTATACCTTTTGACAGAGATGAAGGAGCTGTAGGGTCTTATGCCATAGCCATTAAGTCATGTGTGTTCCTAGGGCGTGCGTACAGGCTGGATGCGGAGATGTGCACCAACAGGGAAGATTTGTGTTGGCAGCACACCACAAGTGACAGACAAGTAGCACAGCGATGGTTCTTCTTTGAGTTCTGGGATGTTTTGTTGTCCTTTAAGAGTAGACAGGAGCTTAAAGTTGTGGGACCTCAGCTGCACTCATCCATCTTGCGAAGACAGGGCAGTCAGTTGCACTGATGTGATTCTGGATTATCTCCATTGAATTAATGGGTCGGAGTTGGTTTTGCCCCAACAATTCCCTGAGTTGCTCCTTTGTGGTGTGTTCTCAGTACCTGCTTGCTTAGCTGTGAAGTTGTCTTTTTTGGGGTAGAAATTGAGCATCTTCCTTGAGTTAACCCCTCCCAGTGGTTTATTGCCAGGGCTGCAGTCATTTGCATCTCATCTCGATAACTTCTAGAAAGAAAAAGCCCCTTCCCAACACATCTGTGGCTTGGAAACCCGGGGCCGGCACGGGTGAGTCCCTGCCAAATCATTTCTAAGGTGAAATGCACAAACTCAAATCCCAGCTGGGGGAGGTCGGGCACCAGCCGGAGAGGCTGAGCGAGGAGCAGGAGGTGGAGAGCACTGAACGAAAAGACCCCTGCGCTCCGGGAGCTCAGCGGGGTGGCAGAATGCCATGACTCAAACACACAGCCACGTCCCTCATTGACCGGTTTTTAACATTCCTTTAAACGTCGGGATCTCAACAAAGTTTTCATGCTTTTTCTTAAGGCAAAAGTACGTGCTTGTGAAGTTGTGAAATCGGTGTGTTATTTTGTATCTGTTAAAAAAAAAAAAAATGTATTTAAAGCTAAAGAGCCGTTATTGTGCGGGGTTTTCTCTCAAACTGGTGCATACACTTTACATCAGGGACCTACTATACATAACAAAAATCAGTGATACAGCTACTGTAAAACCAGATACACACCTTTTACTGTAATAATAACTTTAAAACCTTGCACTGTAATGGTTGCTATTAAAAAAAAAAAAAAAAAAAAAAAAAGCAAACAAAAAAAACCAACTCTTGTCAGAACTGATTTTGTATCTTTGATTATATCTGAAATTTTAGCATTTTTGTATACTTACCATGTCAATGATAGCATCCTCCATGGTTAGTTTCCGGGTTCTGTTTCCTTTCTGTCTCCTAAAACACGTGCATTGCTACAGGCTGTTGATGGGCAGGGTATGGCCACGGGAACCGAGTCGGTCACCCCAGCTCTTGTCAGAAAGATGCGCCCGAGCAAGCCGAGTAGAAGGAAGAGCAAAGCCCCCCAAAACCATTTGGATGGTTTCAGAGCCCGTCAGCAGTTCCAGCTGCCCCGAGCGTACGACCAACAGAGCCGGCCAGCGACTCCCGAGCCACTTCTTTGTCCTGGCGTTGTTCTGGCCGCCTTGGCTGTCCAGCTCCATCGCACAGCAATGCATTGCGAGTAGGTAGGAAATCCAAACCAACGAGATAACTTTGCTCAATCACTACGTTTATTGACTTTTTTTTTTTCTTTTCCCTTTAAAATAATTTTTTTAAATAAGATGTATTTGGAATCAAACAGCATGGTGTTGCAATCCTTTCTATTTTTAAATACTGATACATTCTGTGTGTAAAGTCTTGTTTCTTAGCTAAGAGAATCTTAAATGTGGAGCTGAGTTCGAACCATTTTTTTTCCTTGTTGTACTGTGATTTGGGAATTATTTTGATATAATCCTTTAATTTGGTAGAAGATTTCCCACACCTTCTCCCTCCTTCCTATCACCATCTCATATTTTTTACAAAAGAAAAAAAAAAAAAACAACAAACAAAGGAACAAATAATCTTTTTTTCTCTCTTTAGGCTGTGTAATGTTGTGTTGTCCAGATTCTGTATAAAAATATGTATATGATGTATCTGATATTTGGCAGCAAACGGCTGCAACTTTAACCAATATAATTAACAAAGAAATGCATAATGTTGGTGTTTTAAAAAGTAAAAAAAAAAAAAAAAAAAAAAAAAAAAAATCTAGTTAAGATGTTTGTGTAAACTTGCATGGTTTAAAATGTACTTAGTGCATTGAGAAATGTTGTTAGGGTCCTAAGTGAAAGGCTGGTTTACTTTTTGATTCTAATGGTGATTGGTTTGTTGATCAGAATATCCCCTATACTGTATGTCTTAGTTTATTTAGCATATTTATTTATTTTTTTCTCAAGATCTAGCATAGTGTATCTATCTATATGTAATACTGTTCCTTAAAACCAGGTTGTGGAAACTGCGTTTTGTCCGGCAAACCGATGTTTTGCATCACAGTTGTGGTTCAGTTGCGTTCCATTTAATTTGCTGTGAAGTCCAGGTTTGGCTTTCCTTTGGGATCTTACTTGCCAGCGGGGAGATGCCAGAGACCAGGCTGTCAGTGCCCCGGGACAAGGATGACCCCGAGGGGCTGGCTCCAGCTCGACACCAGGACATCAGCATCAGGCCTGGCAGTCTCGGGCAATCATGGGGTACGAGGGCAGGATTTGGTCCCTCCTCAGCAAACAAAGGCTGGGTTTTTCCTCTCGGCAGCATGTTTTTTATCAGGATCACAGCAGGCATCCCCTGGGGTCTCTCCCAGCTCTCCAAAGGACAGATCTGGCTTTTAGCAGCAGCCATCCAACGCTGCTGAATTAACGGGGTAGCAGCAGCGGAGTGGGGACGATCAGCTCTTGCCACGAGGGAGCTTTTCAGCACCTGTGAGGAGCTCCACACTCCCTTCCAGAAGCACAAACCCACCATGTTCAAGAGGAGCTCGCTGAGCTGTGCCCGACGGGTGCGATGAGAGCTGGGACCAATGGTCAAAGCAGGCAGCATATGGTCAATGGACATGGCTCATTTTCACATCTTCTGTCCCCATGAAACTTCTCATTGGTTTTCTCCAAGCTTTGCTTCTGCTGAACTGACAGAACAGGGACGTTTCCAAGCCTCCAGCAGGATCTGCACTGACTTTAGTGACCATCAACAGCTCCTGAGATTGACCTTCCCATCCTGGTCAATGTGGAGCCGCTCTTCTCTCTTGATGCTCTCCAGTGGCCTTTCCCAAAGACAAGACGGAGCAAGACTTAGATACACAGAGCTACCTACTTTCTTGGAGTTCTTCATCCCAGAGGGTCTCAAAGGGCTTTTCCGGCATCCCACGGTCTTGCCCATGCAGCCTGTAAATGGCAGAGCACTGTTACCCAACGGCAGCCACCTCCGGGGTGATCCTGCCCAACGCCTGCCTGCTCACGGCATCTCTATGCAAGTCTAGTGCGAGAGGCGTGGGCTTGCAGAAGTCTAACATGCCCAAATCACAGCCAAGTGCACATTAAGACCCAAAAGGGCAGGCTGGCTCATTTCATTTTCCCTTTCTGAGCAGTTCAGCTCCTTATTTTTCCATCCTTACAAAATGTTGGGAGATGTCCAGGCAACTTAAACTTCTCCAGTTTGCTTTCATCAGCTCTTTCCTTCCTAAAGGCTTATACAATACTCCTTTTGCACAGGAGAATAGGGTACAAAAACCTGCTTCTCCTCTTCTCCAGAAGCAGGACAACTCCACCTCTCTCTTTCCTTCTTTATGCAAAGCTATTGAAAGAATAATTTTCTTCCATTCTTCCACCACTTCTATAAATCATGCTCATGCTTTGATTTTGCTGCTTGATGATCTAACTGGTTTTCATCTGGAAACACACAGCCTCTTCGTGGCTCCACAAACACCCCAGGGAAGCTGGCTTTTAGAGCAGCATCCTGAACACAGCCAGCCTCCGATGCTCAGTCCTTCTCCCCTGTCTCAAGGCCAGCATGCAAATGTTTTAATTTGGGCAATTAACCACACAGCTGATGTAAATTATCAGAGTCCTACTGAAATAACTGGAGCCATCTGAACAGGCACCAGCCAAGGGCATGGCACAGCTCTCCACCTGCTGCCAGAAGGATGTGCAGCTTCTGGTTGCCTACCACATTTGCTCTGCTCAACGGGAGCATGTTCTGGGGTTAGACAATAACTCTTTTCAGAAATATCACACTGGTTTACAAGCCAGCCACACTGTTTTGCTTATCCTTTAGCTTCACCCTCATCAGCAATCCATGAGCAGAATCTCTCTGTGTAGACAGGCTTTCCCCTTCCTGCCCCTAAGGAGAACCAGTCCCACAAACAGCTTTAATTTCCATCCTTGAAACCAAAAAAAAAGCGGGGAAAAAGATAAGGAGAAAAAAAAAAAAAAAAAAAAAAAAAAAAGGAAAACAAATCCCAAGCCCTGAAAATATTCAGCAAAGCCCAGGTGAGGCTGAGATTTTGCAGGCCAGAGCTGTGGTTTTATGCAGGACTTTACATGACTGTTTTATTTCCAACGCAATAAAGATTAACCAACTTATTGTAGCAAACCTTTGCGCCAGGTGCTATCTCCCAAAACCTTCTGCATCAGACAGTCTGCCCTGTATTCTCTCTGCCTAGGTCCACTTTGCAGAATTTTGGAGGGGAAAATACGCCCTTTGTCTTGGTCCAAGCAGGGGCAGATGGCAAAAGGGGAAAACTGTAAGGTTTACATGTGTTTTTCTTTCTTCCTTCCTTTTTTTTTTTTAAGATTTCCTTCCTTCCTTCCTTCCTTCCTTCCTTCCTTCCTACCTTCCTTCCTTCCTTCCTTCCTTCCTTCCTTCCTTCCTTCCTTCCTTCCTTCCTTCCTTCCTTCCTTCCTTCCCCCCAATCTTTCTTTTTTTGTCTCTTTCATTGCCTTCCCTCTTTCCCTCTTTCTGTTTCTCATTCTCATTCTCTTCCTATTCTCCCCCTTTTCTCTTCTCCTTCTCCTTCTCCTTCTCCTTCTCCTTCTCCTTCTCCTTCTCCTTCTCCTTCTCCTTCTCCTTCTCCTTCTCCTTCTCCTTCTCCTTCTCCTTCTCCTTCTCCTTCTCCTTCTCCTTCTCCTTCTCCTTCTCCTTCTCTTTCCTTTTTTTCTTGTGAGCTGAGGAGGCAGTAGGTTTACTGTAAGCCACTGGCTCTGCAAAAGCAAATCCCATTGGTTTTTCCACCACCGTTTCCAAGCTTAGTCCAGGTTGTTCTTGTTGTGCGCCTTTGGAGCCCTCTTTTGGTTGTGCTTGTGTTCCTGTTCCCTGACTTGGTTTCAGACCGCTTCCTGATTCTCTCTTGCCTTACTGTCATGCCCAGTGTCCTCTTTTGACCTTTAACAAGTCAAACCCTGGACATAAACCAGGAAAATGTGCATTTATTCTCTCTGCATGGATGTCCCAGGAGCTCCTTTTTGTGTTTCTCTCCCCTTCCAGCAGAAGCCGCATCTTTTTCAGTGAAGAAATGCTGCTCAGAGCAAGACTGGCATCAAGGATCCCAGGATCTTCATCTTAGCTTTTCCATTCATTATCTCTCTACTTTTTCTATGTGTGCCTCAGTTTACCCACCCAGGTATAATAATATCTACCTCACAGGGGTGTTGTGAGGCTCTGTTACTGAGATCCTTGGCTGGAGGGTGGGGCAGAATTGACCCCATTCATGCGTTATCTCATCAGCATTCCCTGACCAAGCTTTTTCTTGAAACATCAGCTTAGCAGGAGTCAACCACGATACAAGTTTTACTCTTTGCTTTTAGTTGGTGCCAAGGATTGGGCCATTGAGACTCCTTGCAGGCTGGACACGGCACAAGGAGGAGATCAGTGTGATGTTGTGATGTGCAAATCTGCTCCTAATCCTGCAGAAAGAAGTCCAAAGATCGGAGGTTTTATTGTCCTACTGTCCCAAGCTTCCAACAACCGCGTACTTCACCTCTTTGCCACTACAAACACCCAATCTCTGGATCGCAGAATCTCACTGGAGACACTGAGAACCACGCAGGTGCACATTTAGGATGCCTATTAATTAGATGCCAACATTTCTGTGACATGGCCCAGGCTGTCCTCGGAATGCCCAGGCAAACGTTTGCTGGTTGCTCTTTGAAAGGATGTACAGAGAAAGCTCTTTTTTTTTTTTTTTTAATAATTTCTTTGCTTTGCTAGGAGTTGAGCACCTTGATGCACAGCCTCTCCTTGACCCTATATGCTTCAGTCAATAGATTTGGGCTCTAGTAGGAACAATTTATGACATGAATCCCAGCAACCAACAGTGGAGGAAAGGAAAATGTTGTCTTCCTAGCTTCCCCATAGTCAGAAAAGGATGCTCTTCCACATCAAGCTTTGTCTTAATCAGAATGAATGGCTAAGGGAATGAAACCCATTCTGTCCAAGTGCAAAAATTTCTGCTGCTTCCTTCAAGAAAGTCAGTAATCTGAGGACCTCCTTGAGATGGCATTTGGAAAGCTGATTAAATAAATAAATAAATAAATAAATAAATAAATAATTTTTTTAAAAAAGCACATTATCCATCCAGAGATGGAAGAGGAGCCCATTAAAGATCCTTCCTGTGCACCACCTGAGTTTGGTTAAGGAAAAACAGCAGGATGAATGATCTCCTTTCACCCACACAGGTACAAGGACTTCCCTGGAGCATCTTGGAGTGGGTCCCCCTCACTAGGTAGCAGCGCTCAGAGAACTGCTTCCTTTGCCTTCAAAACCTTC